TTGGTTAAACTGCCATGTAAAAATTATTGCAGTCAATGCTTGCCTTTTCTTCTGTCTCCCATTTTCGTCATTAATAACATAGAAATAGATCAGGATAAGAGTTGTTTTCAGTGCACACCCCATTTATTCTTTCTTCTGACTTTGCACTAACAAGTGGGTGGTCTAATTGTACATAAACTAGCTGCTTCAGGAATGACTCCCAATCAGTAATGAATGATTCATTTCCTGTGTTATAATCAGATTTTTTTGTGATGTCATTTGATGCTTGCCATATCCAGTACTTTTTGATTCTTCTCTTGAAGAAAGCATTCATGTTGCATAATTATGAGGCTTTTGTGTAGTACATACAAATCTTTAGGCTTTCTCATTCCTTGTTCCTGTACCATATTTTCCAACACGACTTTTCCTTGTCCTCTCCTCTTCCTACCTTTACACTGATGTCACCAAGTATCAAAGTGCACATTGGCTTGATTTTTCTTACCTCTTTATCTTTGGCAACATAATTTACAGCTATTTTGTGGTGGTCTTTTTGCAAGCCCTTATCCCAAGCACTGCAATGTGAGAATGTCTCCTGCTATAACATTTTTTGTTGCCTTGGGACCTATCATAAAACCAGCTCAGCCGGCCTCTTTATTTGCCTCTCCAAGAAGCTGTGAACCATCTTTCTGTTCATCTGCAGTTTCTTTCTGCTTTTATTTATAGCAAGAACTACAAGAGTGATAGGATTCTGTTTCTGCAGTTCCACTTGTTGGTCCTTCAGCAATGGGCCTACTTTTACCAACATCTAAGTTAAAATTTACAGACAGTCTAAAAACTTTTCTTCTTGGTGCTCCCAGCCTCTTTCCCACCACGTTGTCATTGTTACTACAGAGATTAGAGGGCACCCACAAGATGAAGGGCCATCTTGCTTTTTTCTTTGTTTCATAGATTGTTATCACCAATTCATCACCAAATGGCCACTTGACTAGGGATGGGCCTCTCCGTACGTAGCTAGCTAGGCAGGTCTTGGGAAAGCAGACTCAGTCTGTTGCCATGGCCTTACTTGAAAGCCATTCCATCATGGAAGAACTATCACAACTTGTATTCTGCTTGCAAAGCCTTTGAGAGCTCCAGATTTTGTTTATACGTGATGAGACATTGGAGTAAAAATTTTTTTGGTGTTTGGTTTTTAGAGATTCAGCTATAGCATAGACCAGAACATTTCCTTCAGTGATCAGTATTATGTAGTAAAGAAAAGTACCAAGGGGCAGCTAGGTGGTGCAGTAGATAGAGCTCTGGCCTTGGAGTCAGGAGGACCTGAGTTCAAATGTGGCCTCAGACACTTGACACTTACACTAACTGTGTAACCCTGGGCAAGTCACTTAACTCTGATTGCCACAACCCCCCCCCCAAAAAAAAATACTGGGTAGAGACATGGAATTCTAGCATAGCCTCTTCTTAATTGTGTTATTGTAGACAAGTTGTTTAACCTCTCAGCCTCAATTTCCTCATCTGTAAAATGGGGATAATAATTGCATTATCTACTCTGACAGGCTTGTTGTTAAGAAAATGTCTATATAAAGGTAAACTGTTATTATTATTGTGGTTGTTGTTATTATTCATAGCTCTGGATAGCAGTCATTAGATCATAGATTTAGATCTGAAAGGACCTCCAAGGCCAGCTAGTTCAGCCCCCTCAATGTATAAATGAAGAATATGAGGCTTATCCCATAGTGACATGGGCTTTTATATCTAGATCTGGGAAAAGACCTCAGGGATTATTTAGGCCAGCCAGTTCATTATCTACATGAGCAAACTGAAGCATGCCTAGGGAGTGACATGACTGATGTATAGTCACACTGGTAGTGTTAGAAGCAAGATAAGAGCCCTCTGACTTCAGAGCAAGTATTTTTCCTACTGTGCTATACTGCCTTCCAGTTCCATTAATTCTTTTTTTTTTTGGCATCAATTATGATTAAATGACTTGTCCAGGGTCACACAGCTAATAAGTGTCTGAGGATGGATTTGAACTCAGGGCCTCTTGACTCCAGGACCAGTGCTCTGTCTACTGCACCACCTAGATGTGTTACTGCTCCTCCCCCCACTTAAAATTAATAGTTAAGTGGCTAGTGTGGGGAGAAGGGTTAGAGTTCAAGGATTCTTAACCTCTTTTTGTGCTATGGACCCATTTGGCAGGATAATGTTTTTAAATGTATGAAATGAAATACATAGCAGACCAAAGGTTAGTGAAAATAAAGGTGTAATTTTTTTTTCCCATCTAAGTTCATGTATCTCTTGAAAATTATTCGTGGACCCATTGGAGGTCTTGGAATGCCAAGTTAAGAACTTATGGGCTAGATGGTGTTTATCAGCTTGATTGAGAGGGAAGAGGAAGCTGGACTGCCCCAAAATGATCCTTCATCTTTAGTTTTTCTTTCTTCCCCTTGGTAGAGGTGAACTGGCACTTCCCCCTAAAACTTCAGAACGCTCAAATATTCAGCCAGATCCCCAAACACCAAAAGTTCTCCTGGAAAGAAATGTGATAATTTGTAGGTTGTGGAATGCCTAAAAAAGCCTGCTCTGTTCCCTTAAGGCTCCTTCCCTAAAACACGCACTCGTTTGTGCACATGGACACCCACCATTCTTCACTGTCTCCAATGTCAGAGAACCAGATACTTCCACTAGGAAATGATACTGGCTGTCTGAAAGAGAAGGGTTGGAACAAGTGTTTTCCTGAGTCTGGCCCAACCCTGCTTTCATATGGAAGACTTTCCTTTCTGAAGAGCAGATGGGCAGTAGAACTGTTTATGTGCCATTGTGTTTAATGATTTAAAAGTTTAGTTGTTTATAACTAGAATGAGGGTGACTGTTGCCTGTATTCATTTGCATTTAGCATAGAATGATTAGAAATGTGAACTCTGTATGTTCAAGAAAACATTGCTCATGTTTCTGTGAACAGCAGGGGATGCCTGTTTGAACTGGACTCCATTTCATGCTGCAAAACTTTAAATGGGCCATCCTCAACAATTAACAGATGTCAGAGTGAGTTAAAAAAGGAATGTCCTGGGCAGGCTTCCATTTCTCCTTACAAAATTGCCTTCTCATCTCCAAACCTAACACTAGAAACAGACGGAAACTGGACCTCAGATTTCAGATCTTGTTTAAAGGACAGAAGTTGATTGAATTGAAAAGTGTCAGATTTAGAATAGCTGAAATTATTTAGTTTTGTGGAAGGGAAGAGAGAAGGTGAAAGAGACAGGAATATGTTACATAATAAATAGAAATAAAAAGCAGTACTACATTTCCCCATTATAGTAGGAGCTCATAATTATTTAAAAGCAATTCTTTCTTCCTTATATTTATCTTTTATAGGTATAGTTGACAGTCATACTGCAGTAATCTTTGAAGCACGTGCTAAAGAAATTTAGTGTTAGTATTAATTACAAAGAGAAAAATCTGAAGAACCTAGGCTATGCAGGTCTATTAACATTCAGTACACATTTAAACAAACATTTCTGATTAACCTTGAGTTAAACAACCCGTCAGTCAATCAATAAATTAAATGCCTTATGTATGACACTTCTAAACACTAGTGATACAATTGCAAGAGTGAGTATGTCCTTGTCCTCAGAGGGGAATGGGCAGACTGAAATTATTGCAGAGTGGATAGGGCACTGGGCTTGGATTTAGGAAGACCTGAATTTGAGTCTTGCCTCAAACACATCCTAGTTATGTGATAATGGGCAAACCACTAACTTCTCAGTTATAGAGAAGTTTTAAAGCTGTATCTCCGTTGGCTTTGTTAAATAATCTTCGTAAAATGTATACTTATTTCCTTCCAACCTTTAACAAATGCAGACAGGGTAGCATTATCTTTGTTTAATAATTTAGGAAGTCTTAGTATTTCAAGGACAATGTCATAAACATGTTGTTTTATACACACACACACACATACATACATGCATGTGCGTGTGTGTGTGCGTGTGCATGTGTGTGTGTGTGTGTGTGAGAGAGACAGACGACAGAAAGATAAAACAATGGATGGAGCACCAGTCGGGAGTCAGGGAGGCCTGAGTTTAGATCTGGCCTCAGATGCTTTGTGAGGCTGGGTAAGTCACTTTGCCTCAGTTTCCTCATCTTTAAAATGGGGAAAATAACAGCACCTTCTGCCCAGGGTTATGAGGATAAAATGAAATCATATTTGTAAAGGACCTAGCACAGTGCCTGAAACATAGTACTATATAAATGTTTAGTTATTTTCAGTCGTGTCCCACGCTTCATGACCTCTTTTGGGTTTTTCTTGGCAAAGATACTGGAGTGGTTTGCCATTTCCTTCTTCAGCTCATTTTACAGATGAGGAAACTGAGGCAAATAGGGGTAAGTGACTTGCCCAGGGTCACCTGGCTAGTAAGTGTCTGAGGCCAGATTTGAAGTCAGAAAGATGGATCTTCCTGACTCCAGGCCTAGCACTCTTATCCACTGTTTCCCCAGCTGCCCTATGTAAATGTTAGCTGCTATTATTATTAGTAGTATCATTAACTTTTACATGTGTATGTGTATATCAGTGTATATCCACCTTTGGATAAGAGAAACTAAGGCATGCAAGTGATAGTTAAGAAGAAGGCATACTCTGAGAGACCTGGGTTCAGATCCTACTCTTGATGTTTAACGGCCATATGAACAAGGACAAATCAGTTATCCTCATCTTTAAAAATGGGCATAACAACACCTGTCCTAAGTACTTTACAGGCTTGTTCTGAGGTTTAAAGGAGTTAATATACGTTAAATGCTTTTGAAACTTTAAAGTGCTAAGTGTTAGTGTTTATTATTGGTGGAGCTTCAATTAGAACTTAGGCCTCCTATTTCTTGTCCAGAGTAAAAATTTGGTTCTGCGTCTTAGAAAATCATTGCAATGTCTCAGTCTAACTGATGCTTCAGGCACATATAATCACACTAGCAAACAAACAGAAAGATTGCTTCCCCCCCCCACGGTACTGTGTCATGTTTTGCTTTCTTTATAGAAAGAAATCCAAGCCATGAGCCAGTGCAGCCATCCCAACGTAGTGACCTATTACACCTCTTTTGTTGTAAAAGATGAGCTTTGGCTGGTTATGAAATTATTAAGTGGAGGTAAGTTGTTTGTATTTGGGGAACTCTGGGACATACCGTTAAGATTTTTCCAATGTGTGGCATGTTGTCATTCCTCTAAACTGGCTACTGTGCCATACTGTGGCACAGCAGCAACTCTGGGTTCTTAAAGACCATGGCAATAATTGACTGCTAGGTTTAGAACATCCTACCAAGTTGAAAAGGCTGTAAGCGAAGGCCTGGCAGTGGGTTCTTGAGAGGTTCACCATCAGAAAGTTGCCCACTAGGTTATTATTTTTTTCCAGACCATAGCAATTCAAGAAATTCTCTTCTGAGGGGTACAGGGATTATGATCTGTTTCTAGAAATATCTTCGCTGAATGAAACAGTAGCTACATAAAGAACTTAAGTTGGATGGCTGTGACCCTCAGAGCTTGAATGAAGTGTTGTGATATTGGGAAATGACAAGGACTTTGGTTCTCCAGCTTGGAGGGCAGTCTTTCTTGGATGTCTCCCTCACATCAGTATCTTTTCCATAAACCACCCTCTGATTCAGATGCTAAGCTCCCATCCCCAGGAAGAGAGAACATTTTAGGATTGCTTAGGCAAAGCCAAGCGGGCGGCAGCAGGGTTTATGTAATTGCTAGGACCGAGCCCAGGCCCCCTCAGAGGAAGGAGGGAGCTGTCCAAATTTAAAAGAAGGCAAAGTCAGTCTTGGAACCAAAGAGGCCCAGAAATGAAATAAACCAAGGAGCTGTAACTTCCTTGGATCTACTTTGGCAGACTTGTGGTGAATCTAGTCGAGCCTAGCTCAGCTTTGTTCTGGGTTCCAGCCAATCCTATTAGTCATTGTTTCCTTGAGTGCCTGCTTGGCTTGCTAATTTCTTTTTTTTTTTAAAAAGGAGAAAAATAGAGGAGAGAGAAGAAGCTCTGTCAGTACATCTTTGGATGCAAGATTAGCTTGCCTCTGGTTGAATGAACTACCTTGCAAGACAATCTAGAGGATTTCCAAGAGCCTGTGACTCTGAACAGGATCAAATACCCTGTCCAAGTCTCAGGTTTTATCTCTTGACTTTACTTTTCAGTTTGCCTTTTTATTTTTAATCCCATAAAGCAAACTTTATTGAATAAAAATGTCTAAAGGTTCATTAAACCACTTCCATTCCTTTTCTTGTTGCTCTTTGACCTGACAGAAAATTTCCTTGCCCTCTTAAAAAGGAGACCTTCCTATAGTGGACTTTGGGTAAGAGGAAAGTTAAGCAGGTTTCCACAGGTAATCTTGTGAGTGCAGACTGATGTGGAAGCTTACTCATTGTTCTGTTTCAGCAAAGCAGGAAATTATTTTGCAAGCTTGATGGTATAGCATTGCCATATACACAATTCCTTTGGAATTTGGCCTTTTCCTCCCTAAATTATCAGAAGGTATAGTTTAAAAGAACATTTCTCTCTGAGGGGAAAAACTTGTTGATTTGCTTTTGATAGCCTCTTGATTGAAAGGAGGAGGTTGGCTTAATGCAGTAATGTCTGATGGGGAGACAGCATCCTCACAGTTAATCACTGTAGGCCAGAAGCCAATTTTAGGGCCTTAAAGAAGCCATTTGTTAACTCCTCAGAAATGCTCAACCTCCAGGTAATTACAGCTATTATAAATGACCTGGAGGTACTGAATATTAATTAATGTGTGTTGAAACCTGAGTTGTACATTGCCAAGGGATACTGCTCTGTTTACTTTAACATTGTATTGAATAGTTTTTCATTATAAAGATTGGTATGTTAACCCATTTTTTCCCTCAGGTATATTCAAAGCCGTGTGTTGATGACCCACAAAGAAAGTAGCCCTTAGTTTGCCAGGGTCCTGAAGTAGTGGGCTACCTTTTTTTTTTACCCATCGGTTCTGGCTCCCATAATTTTGCTGTTGAGGAGGAGCTGTGGCCTTTCCTTCTTCAGTTCTCCCCTAGCTTTATCTTTGAGTATTTTCCCTCACTTTTTATCTCCTATTTGAGTCCTGAAGCCTTTCTATCATTGAGGAATGGAGAAAGGGCCTAATACTACTGTGTCTCTGAAAGCTGAAGGTTGGATGTCAGGAAAGACTTCCCAGCATTTCTGCCATGGGAAACCTACTACTTTGCTGAGGCAAACATTGGGCAGCTCTGCTTGTTAGAATTTTTTCCCTTATATTGAGTCAAAATCTACTTTTCTGAAACTTCCATGCATTGCCTCTAGTACTGTCATCTGGGATCAAGCAAAATAATCCAAAGAGCCAATAGGAAGGCCTTATTAATTCACATTTTCCTTGTTTAAATTTAAAATTCTTTTGAAATGTGTGTGTGTTTGAAGCCACAATGAGGAATGTACTGCTGGTGCAAATTTGGAAATTAAGCCCACTGCTTAATTTTTTTAATTAAAATTTAAAAAAATTATCAGGGGTTTTATGTGTGTTTTTTGTCCCCCACATCAGTCCCTTTCTTCTAATCCTCTGCTTCTGTAGAACTCTCCCTTACAACAAAGAAAAACAGTTAACTGTTGAACAAAGCCAACCAATGGAATGTCCCTGTCTGACAGTGGATACAAGATTCCACACCTGTAGTCTGCCATTTCTCTGCTAAGAGGAGGGAAGGGTGTTTCTTCAGATGCCTTCTGGAATCAAGATTTGTCATTACATTTAATATGACTTTTTAGGATTGTTTTAATTTACATTATTGTCATTATGTATATTGTCCCAATTTTGCTTATTTCAGTCTCTGTTAACACACACATGTCTTCATTTGAGAATATTTTAAGTTTGGATAAATAGCTTTTTTTCTCTAGTTAGTACAGCACTGCTCAAAAGGCAACTAAGGTAATTGTTTTTAAAAGTTATACTTATCAATTTAGGTTCAATGCTGGATATCATAAAATATATTGTCAATCGAGGAGAGCACAAGAATGGAGTCCTGGAAGAATCAATAATAGCTACAATTCTTAAAGAAGTTTTGGAAGGCTTAGATTATCTCCATAGAAATGGTCAAATTCACAGGTATGAATATCTGTAGAGATTTTCTTATTTAGATACTTATTTAAAGATTATCAGAGTAAATCATACCATGGTAAGTTTAGTGACATTTCTAGTTTCATTGTGTGTAGATAACATAAGGTACCATTGATTGGCAATTTAAATATTTAAGGAAAAAGCTAGAGAGTCATTTGGATGAAATATATTGGCCTACAAAGTTAGGTTATATATTTTATAATTTTGAGGGGCTGGTTTATTTTAGAGAACATTGCTTTGAGAATTAATTTCAAGGTAGTGCACATCTGAGATATATACACACATATATGTGATATTTTTGTGTGTGTGTGTGAGAGAAAGGAATGTGTTAAGCTGTTTAAATTTAGACTTCTTCATTTCATTGCTACTTTTATTGGCTTTGTTTATTTGTCCAGGGCTTTGATTAGATAAACAATCAAGTTTTTGTTGAAAAATTAATTTGCAGACTATAAAAATATTGATTGTCTCATAAAAAAATCTGCAGTGTACTGCTTGGGTCATATCCTCTGGGTTTGTTTGTTTGTTTTTTTTACATTCTTTTTATTTTTAGGACTGGGATAACTGCTGCAAACATTGTAATGGGTTGATGGGAGTAAGGGGTATCCTTTTGAGAGGGAAAAGGAAAGGACATATTTGGTAGATCTCCCTCTTTTTGAATATAATACAGTAGTTCTTGAAAGAGTACTGCAGCCTGGAAGACCCTAGGGATTCTCCTGATTCAAATGCCTTTCTGTTTGTTGGTAAAGTTTAATCTAGTGGGCCACTATGTCTGTTCCAAGATATGATTAGAAGGGTTTTTTCCCTCCCAGAACAATAAATGAATTTATACTTTGTAGCATCTACTGCTATTTTCTCCAACCCACTTTTTATATTTTACCATCCAACTTGTATATTTTCTTTGATTAAAATTTAAAAATGTTTTCCCAATTGCATGCAAAAACAATTTTAACTATACATTTTCTTTATGAGAGAGCAGTACTACCATGTTACTAGGACTATTCATCTAATCAAACACAATAAGGACTAGAAATGTTAAAATGAATAAATTATTCTTCCTACTTGGTATTGATAATGAAAAGACATATGCCCCATAATCAGTTTGCTCATAGAGCAGAAACTGATGTATATGGGGTTATTTTAAAGAGTATTTTGGAATGATTCTCAGTGGCAGAATGTAGTTTTAAATAGGTAGCATGTTAATGAGAGAGATCATGGTATAGTGGCTTGAGGGCCAGCCTTGAAGTCAAGGAGGTCCTAGGTTCAAGCCCTCCTTTTGACAGAGCTGTGTGGCTGGCTAGGCAGATCTCTTAACTTCCTAGTGGTCCAAACGGTTCTTTAAGACTAAGTTTGGATGGGGGCAGCTAGGTAGCACAGTGGATAGAGCATTGGCCCTGGATTCAGGAGGACCTGAGTTCAAATCCAGCCTCAGACACATAACACTTACTAGCTGTGTGACCCTGGGCAAGTCACTTAACCCCATTGCCTAGCCAAAAAAATAGAAAAAATTTAAAATAAGACCAAGTTTGGATACCCTATCAGTGTATGCCAGGAGGTCTCTACACTGATGAAATTAAGAAAAAAATCCCCAAAACACCCCACCCAGAAAACATATTGAAGTGCTTCATAAGATGAAAACATTGTGAGTTTCAGATCTGACTCTGTTACCACCATGCAAGATCAAGGCTTTGTTTGTTTGTGATTGAAATGAAATCTAGTTAGTGGCTGAAACATCCAGGTTATCCCAGTGTTGGTCACATTTCCTCATTTATAAAATAATATTTGTGAAGTGCAATTCAAATGAGTAATATTTGCCTTTTTAAAAAAACCTACCTGAAGAAATGTATATAACATAATATGTGTGCTTTGTAGAATTAACTTCTGATTTATTTCTGATAGGGATTTGAAGGCTGGTAATATTCTTTTGGGAGAAGACGGTTCAGTACAAATAGCAGGTAAAGATTATAAATCTAAAATTCATTATTTGTTTACACAGGTGTGTTCTGTTCTACAGTTTCTGAGAGTTTATCTTTGTTACTGAGAAATGAATAAATGCATATACTCTGTTTTCTCCAGATAGTGTTCAACAAGGCCTGATTATACTATTTATAGTTTCTTTGCAATACTGGAGCTTGTGGCACATACAGTTTTTAACTTCTGTCTTAATTCATCTTGGATCGTTTGACAAACAGTATTGTTTTGGCTAATAGCATTTTACTTAAGACAAATCATGTTGTCCTTCTAGTTTTTTATTCAGTTTTGTTAGGCTTGCTAATCTTTTGATTGAATAATGAACATTGATCATTTGTGGGAAGAAGAGATTTGCGCAACAAAATCATTCCTACTCTTGATGATGCTGAAAGTTTGAAAACTTGGTGACAAAATGAAAACCCTTTTTGGAAGGCATTGTCAAGGAGCCATCCCCTCCTATCTGTAATGCCTCTCCTTATTCTGATGCCTTTCTCAGAACTACTTGTAATATGTAGATAAACCTTTATTAGCTCTCAGGTAATGACCATTCAGGAAAGTGTATTGCAATGGGAATTCATTCAGCTCTCTCATTTTATCCCCAAATAATGCTGAGAATATTGACTGAGCTCATTTGGTCTTATTTGAGGTGAAGACATAGTTGCTCCATTTTACAAATGAAAAATGCAGCGGAGACCTCTTTAACTCTCCCAAATCCCTGTCTACCATGCTAAATCAGATCAGAGTTGCTGGCCTTTAATTTACTTTTCTGTCTATGATTTGCCTGATCTTGAGATCTATGGGTAGATATGGTATCGCTGTCAGAAATCCACACTAGTCTGTGAGGTTTTCTGTTGACCATTGCTTGCTTGCTTTCTCCAATGGCCAAATAATTTTTTTGGTAAAGTAAATCTTTTAGAGAGGATCCAGTAAAGCTGTGACTGTGTACAAGAGTGAGGGCATAGAATCATAGACCTAGAGCTGGAAGGGTCATATGAGGAAACTGAGATCTGGAAAGGTAATTGACTTGCTCCAGGTCACGCATAATAAGTCGCACAGCCAGGATTAAAACTCCAGGTTTGTGAGTCTGCATACCATGTTCTTTCCACTACACTTTGTTAACATCTGATAGGACTTTAGGAAGAAGGTTTTGATAGACAACTGCATGACTGCAGAAAAGTAGTGACTTTATCCTTAAAGGAAGGAATTTTTTTGAATAGGCAGGAAGGGAAATTGGAAACTTTGGGGAGCTGAGCATCTGCTTCTTAGGAAGCCAGCAACAGTAGGAAAAAACACAAGTAAACTTTGCAGCTATTTCCATTCTGAATGATAGGCTTTATCCTAACAGTTTGTTTCATGGTTTATTTGCTGTTCCTGAGGCTGTCTAGCTAAGCTCCTCATTCACTTAATCCTCCACCCCAGGTACTTATTAGCTCTGACCACAGAAGCTAGGGACAGTTCAAGAATGCTTCCATTGAATACCTGAAAGCTGAGGATAAACTTTTGGACGCATTTTAAAACCTCTTGGCCCCAGTGTTCCTTCCTTCTGTCGCCTTAACACTGTCCTGAGTTTGCATGATTCCATATGTTCGGTAGGTTCTGAGAGCATTGGTAAGCTAATAAGAAGGTAGCAGATGCTAGTTGGGAAACCAGAAGAGTTAACTTGCTGTCATTCATCTTGCTTTAACAGATGTTCCTATTTTTATAAAGAAATTATCACATCCTGATAAGAGGGTCAGAGTAACTGCATTATGTCTTTGCAGTAAAGTGGCCTATCAGTTGTTGTCCTTTTAATGTCTTCTCTTCACTATCTGGCAGTAATTTAATCCTGTTAGTCTTATATTAATGATTTGGTGTTCTTGGCTATGTCTGCTATGTGTTTTGGACAGATTGTCCTTTTCCAGTTTGGATTCCCTGAGGTTAACTATCCTTGAATCTTTTTCTTCCACAATACTGGTGTTTTGTTAGGCTGTGGATGTGTGCCACATACCAAGAGGGTGGTTGGTGGGAGGGGGGGTGTGAGGGTGGAAGGTGGGGGAAGATTGTCTACTGTTGTGTGGACATATGGCATATATCTTGTAGTAAATATGAGCACATTTGATAAACCGAAAGATTTTTTTTTGGCCCTTCTCTAGTGTCCGAAGGTGAGAATCACTTGTAAAATTCAATTCAGCATGCATTTATTAAGCACTGCTTATATGCCAGGAACTGTACTAGGTGATGTGGTTACAAAGACAAAAGTGAAACAGTTTCTGTCTGCCCTCCAGGATCTTGCTATATGCTTCTGGAGGGACACAACATACATATAACTAACCTTACTGCTAGGGAAATTGAGAGAGAGAGAGAGACCTCTAGCAGCTGGGTGGGTGGGGAAAAGAAAAGGCAGCTTCATGGAAAGCACCTGTGTACCTGAGTTGAACTCTGAAGGCACATGAGGTGCTGGGGAGGTAAAGACGTGGTGAGGGGAACATTCTAGGCATGGGAAATGGCTTGTGCTACTGTTGCTCAGACATGGGAGATGGAGTATCACATTTGAACAAATGCTACTGTTTTTAGGTTTGGTTGGGAGTCCATTTTGGAAAGGCAACTTGGTGTAGTAGATGGAGTACTGGAGTTGGAGTCAGGAAACCTAGGTTCCAATCTCACTTCAGATGCTTTGGAACTAAGTGATATTAGGAAATCATTTAACTTCTTTGGGACCCACTTTCTTCAGCCATAAAAATATGGAGTTGGATTCCTTCTAGATCTAGATCTACAATTCTGTGAATGTAGAGTTCATGGAAGGTGGTACTCTGAGATAAAGCGGAGGGGTAGTTGGGAGCTAGATTGTGAAAGCTTTATTAAATGTAGCTTTTCACTTTTTTTGGCAGTGTGAGATTTTTGAGCAGGGCACACCCATGTCTTAGGCTATTTGAAAGCTTTGAGGAGGATGAATTACAGAGGGGAGAGATTCTAAGTAGAGAAACCAGTTATGAAGCTATTCCAGTCTAGTGAGAGGTGATGAGTTGAACTCAGGTAGTGTGTATTTTGTGAATTAAGAGAAGGGGAAGGAAAGGACTGATGTTGTGGGGTTAAAATGGCAAGAATTGGTTGCTGGTTGGCTGTGGGAGGTGAGGGGAAGAGGGCAGAGTCTAGAATGACCGTCTTCAAGGTTGCGAACTTGGGTGACTGGGAGGATGATGGTGCCCTCAAAAGAAATAGAGAAGTTTCAAGGAAGAGTAGGCTTAAGACAGAATATAATAGATAATAATAGATATAGCAATAGGTATTAATTCCATATCATTCCACATAACTGATAATACTTTTGTGTATATTGCAGTTAAGATGCCTATAGAACACTCGGGAGTAGGTAATCACTAGGCAGTGGATCTGTATATGACAGGACTTTATCAGAGCCATTAGTACTGATTATATAGATTAGACAGTTATCTGCAGAAACTGTATGGGGGAGATATTTTTGAAGGGGGGAGAGAGAGAGAGAGAGAGAGAGAGAGAGAGAGAGAGAGAGAGAGAGAGAGAGAGAGAAGAAAGAGCGAGCGCGAGCGAGAGCGAGAGCGCAAGAGTACCCCCATGGACAAAATGAAAGATCGTAGGGGAGGAAGTTAGTATATTTAATTTTATAGGAAACAGTATAGACTTTGTATGTAGAAAAACTGTGTATTACATAGATCCTAATTGTTGGGATGAAGTATGTTCAGGTGTCTTCTGCTGTAGGGAGGTCAGGAGGACAGAGCTCTGTAGTTAGGTTAAAAACAAAGGAGCTGGATAGCTTTCAAACACTAATAGCATTTGTAATTGTGCAAACAAAAATAACCTGGCACATAATTAGATCTTCTGCATCTGTGCATAAATTGGTTGCCATCTGGGCCAGGGAACCTATGCCACACCTTTTCCCTCTTCCATCTCCTCCACTGCTGTTGAAGCATAAAGTATTGTACAGTCACTGGTGAGGTTGTGGGGGGAACTGAGGGGGAGGGAATTGGAGGTGTTTGAAGGAGAGACACTACTCGTGTGAGTCATCATCACATGCAAAACTGTGCTGAGGAGCGCCCTGGCTCTAATCAGTGCAGAATTTTTAAGCTTGATGCACAAGGCCCCTTCTTTGCCTTCCAGATAAATAACTTGATTAGACAGTGTCTATAAAATTAATAGCTAGCTCTTACTCCTGTTCTCCAGAAAGAGGAGAAGCCATTTTAGTCGTATTCCTCCCATAGTACATTATATCTTCCTCATATAGTGCTAGGGAAAGGCACATCTTAGTTATTTGTGAACAAAGGTGAATTCTTGTTCTAGACAAACTTCAGATATAGAAGAAAGCCCATAATTACAAAACTGACAAATTATGTCCTATAGGAATTTTTTTTTCATATTAGAGATGGATTCAGTTTTTGTATTTCCTTAAATAATGGATTTTCCTGGAAAATTTTAGATTTTATTTGATTTACCACAATTATTTTCATTTGGTTTCAGTCAGCCAATTTTGATTAAAAAATGGTTTCACATCCAATACCTGTGTAAGAAGATCATTACTCCCTTCCATTGCTGTAGACTCTGTTTATGGATTTCCCTTCCTTAGTTTTTAGTAATAGTTGGGGAATGAGAAAAGAAGGCAGCTTAAGCTAGGTTTAGCATTGTTTTGAAAATGTGTGGCATAACATAGGGAGCTCGGGACCCTGGGAGGGTTTCACCAGCATCTATTTGTTTGATTTTAATCATATACTTAGAGCCACACTTATTCTCTTGGCACCCTCACATCTCAGGCATAAAATGGAACAGGAGTTTGTTTGTTTAAATTAGTAGGATAGTTTTTTTCAGTGAGGGGAGGTTGTGTACCCAGATTTTTTTTTTCTCTTGGTATATTTCAGCCTATGTGTTGAGTCTTTCATGACTAAAGCTTTTTACCAGTAATACCTGCTAAGACTTGACTTGCCTGGAAGTAATCAGGCTTTATGATTCAGCCATAAGAACCCAAAGGGAGGTGGAAATG